CCCCCCCAAAAAAAAAGGCATTTGATTAAAAAACAAAACAAAGTTATTTTACACAATGTGAAAGGTCAGAGCCCTGAGCACAACAAAGGTTTGTTTTAAAAAAGGTTGGACAAAATGTTGTGAAAAAAGACCAACGTACTGCTAGAAAAAGAATAAAATGAGTGGGAGACAAAGAGCATGTCATCTGTCAAGATGCCTAAAAAAAGATTATTTACCATTCGTGGTGCCAAGAATTTAAATTATAGGTGATGACAGTCAGCAATTTCATTTTTAGTAAAAGATGAGATGAAACCTGAAATATTTTTAAATTAAAAGATTAAAGCCTTCCTTTTAATTTTCAATTTTGTTTTCATTTTTTTCAATTAACGGTAAGTAATTTGTGGTTTTCCTTTTCTTTATGAAAATGGAATTGACCTTTTAAAAAAATGATGATAATAATAATAATTATTACTACAACAGTGCGGGATAATAATTATTTTATCCCCAAGCAAAGCATCACTTATTGTTTGGTGGAGAAACCTTTGATGGGTATGTACATGGTAAGCTTCTTAGTTTTATCTTTATATTAATATAATTGTTGTTGTTGTTTTCATAACTGTAACGGGTTTGAAAAACGAATGGAAATTTACTATTGTTCATAATGAATCTGTAAATAATGTCCTTTTTAATGATGGCTTCAATAGGAGAAGCCAGTCATGTACCTTATAGGTTCTACATACATACATTTGAAAAATAAGTGAGCAGAAGTTTCAGTCTGTTCAAAAAAGTCACTGCGAGGATACGTGCCAATTAAAAATTTCAAGTGCATTTCTTTGGCTTTAGAAGTCATGAGGAAATGTAGTTATTTTGTACATATACCTGTTCAGAGATCTTTGGATCTAATTAAATTACTCTCAGTCTCCCATGATGTTTAATGTGCATTTATCAAAATGCCTTTGATTAAGCATAAAAGAGATTCAGTTTGATGCAAAGTGATTGCTTAATTTGGCCTACGATATCTACACTGTAGCAGTCCTTGTCACAGTCTTTACTAGTGTGCTAATTTCCACACAATGCATTTTGAGCAAACAAAAGACAATGCTGTTTCTGAAACAAGTGAAAAACGTAGCTTTTATTCAAATACATTCTCTAACTTTTATCAAAGTAGGATTCTTTAGTTACATTCATGCCGCTGTATAATAATAGTCTTGAAATTTAATATTGTTAACAAGAATATAATTTTACCCTTTCCACATGATCACGTAGCAGCCAAACATGTAAAAATAAATATATTTCTTGGCCCTTAGAGGGCACCCACATGTCAGCTAGTCTGCTCAAATGAAACTTCAGTGTATAACTATGACTGGGCAATAGATATCCTTTTTACTGGAGAACTCTATATGCTGAGGTAACCCTTTTGTGTGTGTGTTACGCCTGTCGATGCGTTGTGTTCTGACATATAAATAAGAGGGAGGAGACAGCACTGGATCTCTGGGCTCTTTACTGTAAGTCGCTGCAACATCTGCAATAAATTGAAATACAGAGCTGTGAGCTGTGTGTGTTGCGCGCCTGCTAGATCACCTCTCCTCTGAGCATGCTGAAAGAGCTGTGACCAGGGCACACATGCATGCGCCTACGTCATCACGGCATAGAGGATCGCACTGGCCACAACAGACTCATAGAAAATCCTTAGCATTGTCCAGCAGATGTTGAAGAACCTCAGTCGCCTCAAAAATAGAGACAACTCTGGCCCTTCCTGTAAAATGCTGTGGTGTTTTTAGCACAGTCCAGTTTATTGTCAATGTGTACTCCAAGGTATTTATAGTCCTCCACAATGTCAACATTGAGCCCCTGGATTGAAACAGAGGTCAAGTGTTTCCTGGTCTTCCTGAAGTCCACAACCAATTTCTTGGTCTTTGCCACGTTAAGCTGCGGATGATTCTTCTCACACCACGTGACAAAGGAGTCGACCACAACCCAGTACGGTTTCATCATCCCTGATGATGCATCCAACCACCGCAGAGCCATCAAAACTTCTGAAGATGCAGGTCTCTGTGCAGTGGCTGAAGTCTGTGGTGTAGAGGGTGAAGAGGAAGGGGGAGAGGATGGTCCCTTATGGTGCTCCTGTGTTGCCGATTACCTTGTCAGACACACAATGTGGAAGACGTACATATTGTGGTCTTCCTGTCAGGTAATCAACAATCCAGGACACCAGAGAAGCATCCCCCTGCATCGCTGTTAGCTTATCACCAAGCACTGGAAAAGTAAAAAAAACATGAACCTCACAGTGCTCGCCGGCTGGTCCGGGTGGGTGTAGACACGATTGAGCAGATAGATGATGGCGTCCTCAGTTCTGAGACGAGGCTGATAAGCGAACTGAAGGGGATCCAGATGTGGTCTTACTATGGTTGGGAGCTGGTCCAGGGTGAGCCTTTCCAGGGTCTTCATGATGTGGGAGGTCAGTGTCACAGGCCTGTAATCCTGGGGGCCACTGGGACGTGGCGTCTTTGGTACAGGGACGAGGCTTGATGTCTTCCACAGCACTGGGACCCTCTTCAGACTCAGCATGAACAGTTTATGGAAGACTCCAGAAAGCTGGGGGGCCCAGGCCTTGAGGGGACTCACTCCATCTGGTCCAGCAGAGTGGAGTTTCCTCATTTGCATCTGAACCTGGTAAGCATTTAACACTACTACACTGACATACATAATTTTCAATTTAATGAAGTTAAAAATTTGTTGTCTTATTGTCAGTTGTTATTGATTATTAGAAATATATGAAAAAAATGTAACATCTTTACTGCCAGTGAACAATACATATATGTGAATTTGAACATTTTGTCTGTAATTGAATACACCTGGCACACATTCTACAAGAACTGCACTCCTTTCCACTCTTTACTTGAAAGAGCTAAAGTTTTTTTCTTCTTTACGTCTTCTAAGTTAGCCCAGTGAACATCTTTATCTTTAATTAATGCTTTGAAATAGAACCTTTGAATGAGAGAGGAGAGTTGGCAGGCAGATGAGGTTCCTGAGGTCAGGCTAACTGAACCTAGAACACAGGGATATCAAAGGTAAGCAGAAGGCAGTCTGCGTATAATATTACTGTAAATGTTTTGCTGAAAGTGAGTGGAAGAAGCAAAGAATAGAATAGAATAAACCTTTATTATACCACAAATGAGAAATGTGGGTGTTACACAGCTCTAATGGCAATGGGAACAAATACAAAGGCAGGCATTGTTAAACATTAAACAGCTGTGGCAGCCTGGGAACAGGTATGTAGAGACGCCTCAAAGAAGATCTGACAAGCACAGAGAGCTTTAGACACACATTGAGAAAAGAAAAAAAAACAGACTGAAAAATGAAATGGAAAATTAATCCAAGCACCAAGAGACAAATATCATTGAAAAGAATCCTTTTCTTAAAATCTCTATTTACGTCAAGTGGCTTTATTGTCATTCCGACCATGTGCAGTGGTACAGTGCACACTGAAATAAGACAATGTTCTTCCAAGACTATGGCGCTACACATGACATATAACAGACAGTCAACACAGGACTAGATAAGGTACAAGTGTGCAAAAAATGCAAAAGCCTGAGCATTGTGCAAAAAATAACTTGGTGTATGAAGGTATGCATGTGTCAGTCCAGCTGCTGAGTGTTCAGGAGTCTGACGGCTTAGAAGAAGAAACTGTCTCGCAGTCTGGCATTGAGGGCCCGAATACTTTTTGCCAGAAGAGTGTGTGTGATGGGTGTGGGGGGTCCTCCACAATGCTGGTGAGTTTGTGGATGCAGCAGGTGCGATAGGTTTCTGTGATGGCGGGAAGAGAGGCTCCAAAGATCTTCTCAGCTGCTCTTACTATCATTTGTAAGGTATTGCGATCTGATTCCGTGCCGTTACCTTACCAAACAGTGATGCAGCTGCTCGGGACGCTCTCGATAGTCCCTCTGTAGAAGGTCGTGAGACTGGATGGTGGGAGATGGGCTTTTCTCAGCTTCCACAGGAAGTAAAGACCCTGTTGGGCCTTCTTAGTTATGGAGTTAGTGTTGAGGCACCAGGAGAAGTTCTCTGCCAGGAGAACCATGTGGTGGTGATTGTGTTATCCAAAATAGAGGGAAAGTAGTTACATATTTTTATACAATTTGTTGTGTAACTAATTTTTAGAGGTTAGCCTGTCACATGTTTGCTTCTAATAATACAGAAAACATGATTTATACTATCAGGTGTTCCTTCTGTAGTGCAGACACTGAGGTATTGTTTTTTAGCCGATCAGCACCAAAACCCAGTGGGTTCTCTCTCTGGTTAGAGTTCACCTCTCTTAGAACTTGTTGCACAATCATATTTACAGTAAGATAAACTTAATTAATTCACTTCACTTATATTT